CCGTGATCCTCCTTCCGCAAGACCGTGAACCTCCTTCCGCAGACCGTGATCCTCCTTCCGCAGACCGTGATCCTCCTTCCGCAGACCGTGATCCTCCTTCCACAGACCGTGATCCTCCTTCCACAGACCGTGATCCTCCTTCCACAGACCATGATCCTCCTTCCACAGACCATGATCCTCCTTCCACAGACCATGATCCTCTTGCCACAGAGTATGATCCTCTTGCCACAGAGCATGCTTTTTCTGCCACAGATCTTTCTAATCTGGCTCAGGATCCCATGGCAACAGTTCATGATGCTTCTACACCAGTACTTGGTTTGTCTGCCACCAAACATGATCCTACAAGCTCAAAGCATGAACCTTTACCAGCGTATGGTTCTTCTTCCACAGACTATGATTTTTCTGTTACAGATCATAATCCTTCTCGCACTGATCATTCTACTTCACAGGGTGTCCCTTCTACTATCGACCAAAAGTCAGCCCCTGAAGAAAGTAGTTCTTCTACAAATCAGGCTTCTGTTATAGACATTGAATTGAATGAGGTTAAATCAGTAGAGTTGAAATCACAATCACAAGATAATCCAAACAATCCCGAATCTGACTTTAAACTGAAACTAGACGTTGCTGAACAAGACAGTCAAGAAGATATCAGTATGCTTGAAAATGATGATGAAGATGATCTGCCACCTGATTGGAAAGATATGCCAGTGGATGTTAGATACTCCCATCCAGCTGTCACTCTACCAGTTCTATCAGAAGAACAAGCTGAAGTCATTGAACAGTTGCAGCAATTTCCAAATAGTAAGGTATGTATAACGATTAATTTGATCATAATGGTACATAGGTTATGTATCTACTAGTAGTTAATGGATTGTGATTCAGAGTACTGGATGTACCATGGTGTTGTATCTGCTTGTCTACCCAAAAGTAATCATGAACCTGGTGTGGATTGTTAGGGATTGTATGTGTCCAAGGAATTTGAGATGGTTTGAACATTTGGCCAATTACCCAGAGTGCAGCTCTCTAAATACAAATAAGCCATTATCATTTGAAATCATGTAAACAGGAACTTAGAAAAACTGAATATAGGGTAGATTATTATTAAAAAATCAATATATGGAATATATATTTATATATATATTATATATATATATATATATACATACAGTAATAGAGGAATTAATACACAACTACATGAATAATCAGGAGTTTTATGTTTAATAATTCACTGCACCAACGAGCACACATTATAAACTTTGCAACAGTGCTGTCGAGTTTCATGTAGTTGTGTATTAATTCCCCGATTACCGTTTATATTCGCTCTACATATACCTTGTTTTGGAATAATCGACTCCCACATCTAGACTTAGATATATCTCAATTTTTTTTTTCTCTTAATTAGGAATTTGTATTCCCTGAACCAGTGGAGTCTGCCATGATTTTGGGTCATTACTGTATTAATAAAAAACCCTGCGTTGAATGTGGTGAAAAGAGATGCCAACCACTGAGTCAGCTGAGTATGGATGTTGTGCAATGGGGTCTGAAGCATGCACAGACTAGTCAAGAGATAAAATATTTCCTCAGAAAGTTGGAAATATTGCAAAGTCAACAGTAATGAATCTGTTGGAAAATTACTTTTCTCTAAGTTTTTGTATATTTTAATACCTTTCTTTTTCCCCCTCAGAATGAGGGTTTATACAAGATGTCTACTATTACGTTGATTTCTTTTTTTTAATGCAAAGTATTTATAACATAGGAATAAGTCTATAATTCATTTTACTTGTTATGATTTTATCTGTTATACAAGTAGGGTTGCCAGCTTTTAGTCATAGTAGTATATGGTAGACAAAATATTGATTTATTTGACACTTGACTGTGTTAGACAAAGTGCTGTGAGCCATTTGCTAAAAAATCTTTTCATTCATCCATATAAAGTAAATTATTTCACTTTGTTACTCTACAGAATGAAGGGTCACAAAAGCTGAAACTTTTGGATTATTTTCAAACTTGATTAAATTATTTTTAAGAGCATGTTATAAACAAAGGGTCAGTTTCAGCCAGATTAATTTTTTTCATTTCAACACTCCAGTAGTGTGTACATAATTATTTCACATGCTCGTCATTGCAACAGGAGAAAAAATTATTTACATGGCGAGTGAGCCATCTACAGTCGAGTTGCAATTTTACCTTTGTTTTTATAAGGCATAGTGATGTGCTTCTGGTGGAGCAAATACATCGGATTGACAAGATGTTTTTATTTATTGAAACAAAGGACGTAACTATTGTACCAATAAGTTGATAAAATAAATCAACAGTACAATGTATAGAATATTGTCTTTTATTTAGTATTGTCTTGAAACATCTCGTGTGTATTGGTATAGGTCAGAATTACTACAAACTGAACAAATTTTGGGAAGTCCACCTGAAGTACCTATATGTATAATATCAAGGCTACCGGTAATCAGTTTTAAAGAAGTCAAAAACGTCAATTTTTACCCCCCCCCCCCCCAAGTAATCGGTCTTGATCCACCATAGGGTGCATGTATGTGCATACAAATCCCAAAATAGGTTGGTAGTCATGGTTGGTAATGATAATCTGTTCTACACTTGGAAGAGTACAATGGCAATGCAGACTGAAAACATGTTTATTATAAACTCGTATTTATTGAACTGTACAAGCGTTAAGTTAGAACACAAAATACAAGGACACTAGAAAAGTGTCTTTGGTAAATATTCATGTTGGCAGTGAAGATGACAGGCATTTCTGAACACAGTGTTACTTTGAATACGGTTATTACAAGGATACTGCTAAGTATGCACAAAGACAGTACTGTCTGAATGCATTCTTGCAATAATTATACAACTTTTCCTCTCAGGAATACATCATGGGAAGGCCGAATTTCTTTGTGTGGTGACCAGTCAGACCCTGTTTATTTTTTTTTATTATTAGAGGATGCTTGTGTGTAATCGTGACATATTTAGAGTTTGCATTTCCTGATATGGCACGCTGACAGATGTACAATAATACAATGTATTTATATCGAGTCAATGCCCAGGAAAAAGGATAAAAAAAAGAGAATGCTTGTAAAAATTGTGTATAAAAATGAACACAGAAATAAATAATCTATCTCTAATAAAAATCACTAAATATGCAAATTCACAAATAAAAATACAAAATTTACATGGGAGTGATAAAAGCGTTGAACAAGTGTGTAAAAAAAAAAAAAGTTCCGGATCACATGTACTGATGACAATGTTTTTTTCGTTTCACAATGTGACATGATGACATCCTAAATGAAACTAAGGACTTTACGAGCAACACACACCCAAAAGACTTCTTTTTGAAAAGTGCCAGCTCAATTTTATACCAAGTATCAAAGCAATTAAGCTGAGTAGTTTTCAAGAAAAAGTCGAAAAAATGCAATTGTTGACAGCGAAGTTCATAATAAATATTCTACATTATTACATGTACATAAATTCGCTTTGATGTGGAGTACATATTTCAATCCAAAATATCATGAACATGTTTTAAAACCGTGTGGTTATCAGACTAGAACTGGGCAGTGGTGAGGTCAACGAGACAGTTATCACATAATACTTGGCAGTCTGAAGTCATTTCATCCCTAATCATTCTCGTTATAGTTGTCCACATTTTCTGAATGGATAAATGTTGATAGGGCATCATGGAAAACGAAAAAAAATATATATTGTCATGGTAACATAGAATTCATAGACTAGTCTGAATCAGATGATGACAAATCTTCCAAGAACTGCATATGCCTGGTAATAACAGTAGGACTGTACTTTGCTGACAAAGTTTTCAAATCCTCAGCTCTGCTGCTCTGTAGTTTTCTCTCGTCAGCTTTGCACCATGACATAGTACCGGTACCTGCAAAGTTTATTTGTTTTAGATATAAACAACAGTTCAAGTAATAGTCACTTGGTGCTTTGTGAGCGAAAATGCAGTCCCTGTCGGCCATCATTATTGCAACATGCCAAGTACAACTGTTCAAAAGCCTTGAACGATTAAGTATAAAAACAAAATGGTGAGCTGTCAACTACCTTTAACTGGATTGGAAATACATTCTTTGAAAGTTGCAGTTGTTGTTCACTTTTCATTTTAATTGTGTGCTTCCCAAACATATTAATGAAACGGACAAACAGCTAGGGTAAACATGAAAACTCGCTTGTGTCTTACCAACAACAAAAAAGAAAATGTGGCAGAAGAAAAAACATTCATTTCTACTAATTCGAATAATTAAATGTAATCCCACAATATTTCTTAGGTTGACGTCAGTGATTACTGTCAGAGTTTGAGGTATAGGTGAGTATTGATGTTGCTGTGGCGGTGACAAGTGTCTGCTGACATCAACCGAAAAGAAAATATCATGCAATCACATGTATTCTTCACATGGATTATATTTCCACAGTCCAAAAAAATGAAACAGCGATGGTGTACTATATCGTCAAATTTGTTCCTATTTTTTTTTTACCACAATCCATAATTATCGATCCACATATAAACTTGGCACACGTACGATGGAAAAAACAATAGCAAAGTATATTACTGTGGAATACTTTATTTTCGCTGAAAAGGCTTTTTGGGCGTTTTGCTTGGAATTTATTTTCACTGATTTTTGATGAGATTAATGTAAAATATAGGAAAAAATGTATATTCACCGGATTTTATTTTCACGGAATCATCCCTTCAGCGAAAATAGCGAAAATGAATTCCAAGCGAAAATAAAGTATTCTACAGTATGTCAAACTATATGACATGAATTCTTGATCCGTCCTGTATTACCTTACACTGTTGAGATGTGCATGTTACGCATGAAAAAAAAAAATACATATTGTTTGTTTCTTACCCCGTGAACATTTAGCTGTCTTTAATAACTGCCTCACAGTCTTAAAATGACCACTGCATTGGTAGAGGGCGCTAACAGCTGTAGTCATGGAAACATCATAGTCGTATATCAATCTCTGAAAAAACAAACATGAGAATATGACACAATTTAAACTTAAAAGTTATCAGCAAAACAGATAAATAGAAGTATTTTTCACAAAAGCACATGCTATATGAGTACAAAGCAATGAACACTAGCGGTACACATCAACAGTTTTTTTTACATAATGGTCATGACGATGTGTAAAATGAGACTGGGGGGGGGGGGGATGCCACTTGCACTTCAGGTACATCAAGCTACCACAGCTATTGTTCTATCAAATCCAGAGACTATTTAGTATCATTCTGATAATTGCAACTTCGACAATAATGAAACATACGTGCCATGCTTGCTCCAGAAGTTACAACTGACCTGTTTGGTATCGATCAAATCATGCTTTTTTTATATTTATTACTAAATCCTCTGAAACACATAATGCAATTGAAATGGTAAAACTGTGAGACATCTTGCTACTAGTTACATTACATGAAGATCTCAGCCAGTCCAGATTATTCAATCCTTTTGTGGGGGGGGGGGGGGGGGAATTGAGAATAGAGTTTCACACTTATCTCAACTCCAACAAGGGAATGTCAATCAAAGGAACAGGAAACAAATAAACGATATGAAGAAACTGCATTTAGTACATGTCACTGGAAATGGTTACATGTACTCGCGTGCTAAAAACAAGTATTCAAGCCTTTTATAGCCTTGGTGGGATGAGCAACCGTAACAAATTTTCAGCAGGCTTGGTGCTGATTGGTTCATAGTACTATGAGCTATGATTGGCTAATAAGAGAATAGCATTGAAATGGCGTCTGCTATCGTTATTTGCATGTATGTATGGGGGTCTAAACACTAACTCGGCGGCGCAATTGTGCGACTCGCCGAATGTCGATTATTGCACTCTGCGACAGGATTGCAGTGTCACTCTGCGAAGAGCATGATTCCTATTGGTTGGTTGGTCGAAAGGCATGAATCCCAATGGTCGATGTTCACCGCAGGCCTTATAAAAAATTAAGTTTTAAATGGTAAAAAAGGTACGGTAAAAAAAAAGTGTGTAAACACTATGTACCAGCGACATACCGCACTGTTTGGTGATCGGCAAGCACATGGAAGACAAATTGTGGGACCAAACAAATGACACATAGTTTACAGTTCTTAGACGCATCACGCCGCTGGCTAGAAAAAGCGAGTGGAACGCAAAGTACTTTTCACGCGTTCTGCAACGAATGTTGTACGTCAGCTTTGACTTTGTTGAGAGCATCAGGGAAAATAATTTGCATGCTGTGGAAAAAAAAATCATTCACGACTTGCAACGTTTTGCCATGACAACAGTTGTTTGCAATCGCCTGCCTTCGTTTAGATCATAAACGGACTCAAAACTTGTGGTCTACGATCGATCAGCTGGTATTTTAACCACCAGAAATGAAATACTTTGCAACAGTTGTGAAAAGTAAACAAAAACGGCATTGTTTTGTGGTATGAATGTAATTATTTTTGTATCATAATTTTTGAAGTCAGTATTACTGAAAATTTTGGTTTATTTTTTTTAAATCAACGCCAAATTTTCGGTGGTCCATATTGATCTTAATGTAGCAGGAAGGGAAATTATTTTTTTTTCTTGATTTTTTTCAATAATTGATAAACGGTTACTTTGTACCTTGATTCATCATCCCAGCTTTTCGAAATTTCGGAAAGACCAGTGCTCAAACGCTAACACTACTACCGTTTCATTAATATTTGCATAATGTTTATACCATGTATATGTATACTACCGGTTATACTCTGTTGTTGACGATTCTGATAGAACGGGTGACAAGCTTCCTGTCGCAAACAATGCATATTTATCTAACGTCCATTGTCAGCATTATTATCAGTCA